TGGGAGTGTCATATATCAATCTGTTGATTTCATTGGTTAATTAAATAAAGAAACTGCTTGCCCTGATAGGTTAAAACATAGGTGGGAGGAGTAAACAGGAGGAAGAGGAAGTGAGGTAAGACTCCTCAGAAAGACGCGAGATAGCTCTGCTCTCAGAGACACATGCGATGAAGCTTCCGACTCAGGATGGACATAGGCTAGAATCTTCCCGGTAAGCGCACCTTGGGGTGCTTACACACATTATTAGAAATGGGCTAGTCCAGGTGCGAGAGTTAGCCGAGAAGAGGCTAGATATAATGGGCAAGCAGTGTTTAAAAGAATACAATTTGTGTGTTGTTATTTCGGGCATGAGCTAGCAGGCGGCCGGGGTGCTGGGGACACAGCCCTGCCGCTTCTTATTTCAACAGTCCATTGCTCACGAGCATTTGTTCACCTGCATCTTTGGGTCATTGTTCCTAGGGGCCGTAGTCTTCCGCTGACCGCCCTTTCCAGTATGATTATCCCCACTTCATAGATGAGGAGCTGAGGCCACTACAGAAGGAATGTGGTCCCTTCCTCTGTGAAGGTCAGTCGTGTCTCAGCTTGTCAGCGATTGAGTGACTTTGGAGAAGAGGAGAAAGAAGCTGCTCCTCTATGAGGCAGAGCAGCCAAGAAGCCCCGCACTCCAGGCAGGCCTGTTAACAGCCATGCACGCTCAGGTTTCAACCCTTCCTGGAGTATGAAAGACAAAGACACTGCATGCCACATCACGTGACCTAAGAGTCCTCCCCCTTCCCCTATTTAATTGCAGAGGAGAGGCAGGGGCCTCACTGAAGCCAGCACCTAGTGGTCCAAGGGAGACCAGGACCCTCTGAAGCCATGAGCCCCTCCCATCCTGCTTTCCAGTCCCGGATATATCTTTCTCTCTGGGGTCTCCTTCTGATGCCAGCAGGTGAGTGGGTACCACCACTATCACTAGGACTTCATCTTACCCTTGTGCCCTCACAGACCACATGGTGGACTTTCCTGAAGGGCAAGTCACTTAATCTTCAGGGCTACATGGGGACATTCAAGGTCATTGTCTGGGTGGCCACAGGGCGAAGAAGACAAGGGGGTGGCTCAACTCTATTATGAACAGCTTTGTCATCTTGAATGCCCCCAAGCCTTTTGGTATTCTTGTCTGCAAAATGCAAACAGCATCATGGAACACTCAAGATCACTATGGGAATGAAGGAAGCTTGCACCCAGCACATAGGCTGGGGCAGGTCTGTGGAGACACACATGGTGGTTGTGTTCATTGTCGTACTTTCTGTCCCAGCGGCTGCTGGCTGCCGGGTCTTTTTTTTTTTTTTTTTTTATCTGTGTAAGGTCATTCATTGCCTGCTCAGGCAGTAGAGCCCCAGAATGGGGAAGCTATTATGCAAAAAAACAGTGGAAAGGGCATGATAAATTCCACCAGACAGTTGTGCAGAGCTTTGCCCAGAAAATGAGAACTGGTCAGAGCTGGCAATTTAAGAGCTCAGGCTGGTACCCTTCATGGGAGATGTTCTCATGGGCATCAGTAGCTTGTTGGAAGAGTGGATGGAAAGGAGAAAAGTCTCACCACCCGCCAGACTCACATCAGTAGCTGAAGCCCCTCTCAGCCACCCCTGATCCCCCTTGGGGCTCTTTGGTTCTGGCTGAGACTGGTTTCTAGGTCTGAGCTTTCTTACTAGGCTGCGGGAGCCCTCACTCCCTGACTCCTCACTTGAAATCAGGAAGACCCTGCAAGCGCCTGCCTCTTGTATGGTGTCCTTAGGGCTATTTTAACCACTAATACACACTCATCTATGCAATCCCCAATGGTGTTTGAGATGTACTTCCTGTTTGCCTCCCCATACAAGGATATACACTGTTGAGTGTCTCTGCTTTGATGGACAATGGAAAGAAAACCACGGATTCAGCTCCTCGGCCTCATGTAGACTCTTTTTCTCTCCTATTCCTACTCCACAGTGTTGGCCCAGCGAGGCTCACGCACCCAGGCTGAGGACCGCCTGTTCAAACACCTGTTTGGAGGCTACAATCGTTGGGCGCGGCCAGTACCCAATACCTCTGATGTGGTCATCGTGCGCTTTGGACTTTCCATTGCCCAGCTCATAGATGTGGTGGGTCTGCCCGCTCACTCTGTGTTCCCTTGATCAGCCCCCCAGCCCACTTACTGTAGGGATAAGCCCTCCCCTTGGGGGCGGGCTGCCCTCAGGCGTATGTTTACTGATATATTGCGCTGCGCGCCCCTTCCGCGCTCTCCTGTTTCCGCTGGGTAGCTGGAACCTTGGTTTTGTGAGTGCGCCCCTTCCGCGCTCTCCTGTTTCCGCTGGGTACTCCGCTGGAACCTTGGTTTTGTGAGTCTGGTTTTGTTATTAAATTTGTTTAAATATCAATTACTGGTGATTTATTAATCCGACCGCTGCAAGTCACAGAGTAAAACTAACAGAATTGCCCAGTAAGGTAGAGAGAAAGAAAACGATAGAAGTGGGAGAGATAGAATAAGTTCGTGCAATGATGGGGATATAGAGTTGATTCAAAGTCACAGTGACTAGTCTCTCTGCAGGGCGAATTCACCAAAATGGGCCACAGAAACAACACGGAGGTACAAAGAATTGAAGGAAGGAAAACAGAGAAAAATGGAGCACGAATTTAAAGAATTTTATCTGGCCTAGGGTGAAAGTTGCTAGTGGCCAGAGTTTCTCCAAAGCATCTAAAATTCTTTGTACAGATGTATCAGAAACAACTAGAACTTTACTGCAAGTGTCTCTATACTAATCACCATCTGCTCAAAAATCGACACTCTTCTGTTCAAGTTTAATAGGTATAATTATAAGTTCTTCAGGAGTCATTTATTCACTACATCCATTTAGCAAAATACTAATAGTAGTATATAATCAGTTTCGTCTTATAATCTGCCTACCACAGGTTCTTGATCTGATAATGGCACAAGGAACAGGCATTTTTCTTATATAAAGGGACTAAAGTCCAAGTTAAAAGTACATGATTACTAGCATGATGTCTGTGTCACTATTTCATTTGTTGACATGTCCAACCTGGCCTATATGCATTGTATTACAGAGTTTACAGAAGGGCAAGACTGGTGATTACTTTTCTCCTCTGGGATCATGCATAGGATGTTGCTGTCTGAGACACTGGCATTTGAAATTACAACAGAATTTCCAATAATTTCTGAAATGGTTACAAAAAGATAATTTCACCATTTTGCAATATGTGTCTATGTGAAGAGTTATTTTTAGTCCTGATTGTTTTCATGTCAAAATATTGACCAACTCTGAAAGGCATTGAAGATTATTTTCTGCCTTATCAAGCATTTATTCCTTTAATATAACAATAAATAAACATGCCCATTTCATTAGTATATAAAGCTGCTTTAGTCTTGAATAAATTGTCAAATATGTGTAACAAAAAAATGTTTTAAAATAAATCAACCTATTATTAATCATCAGCAAATATATACATATTTAATATACCTATTCTTGAAGAGTTGGGCAAGCTTTATCAAGGGAAAATGTATTAAGAATCATCATGGGATAATGAAAGGGAGAAAATAAAGAAACAAAAGGGAAATCCTGATTGGGTAAGTTGATGATGTCTAGTCCCAGAAAATGAGACAACTACTTACAACTGAATAGCCAAAGGAGTCAGGGAAAAGTCTTGTAAAAAGTGCTTGTAGTAGACAAATACAGCCTGGGAACATTTCAGAAGTAACAGCAGAGATGTCAGGGATGCTATTTAAGGCAGCAGTTTGGTTTCTTGATCTAACATCATTCTTGGAACAAAAGTAGCATGTCAACTATCTGTAAAAATACAGTTCATACAACATGGAGAAGAATGCAAAAAAAAAAAAAAAAACCCTTGCTTAGTTTTAGAATAATGACACCTCAGAAAAGATCAGGGTTTGGCTAGACAAATGCATTCCTTACAGATGTGAATACTTACACTTTAAAACTGAATAATATCTCTTAATTTGTAAATGATCCTAATGGTCATGTAAAAGATAATATTTCCAGTACTTATAATCATTAGGAAAAAATACATAATGAATATCCAAAGTAGAAGCAAGGAATAAATTCTTATGATTGGGTATAGAATACATAGCAATATTACAGAAATATTTCATAGCATTTTGGATAAATCCTTGTTTTACTGCTGTTCACTCGGCAAACCCACCTTTAATTTCAGTCTTGTCTTCTGAACATGGTTCCATGCAATGGCTGCTATCCGACAGATACGCTGTTTCTAGCTTTGAGCTTTCTACTTTCTCTTTCAAAGACTTCTGGAACAAATGAGAGATTATATAATCATCGGACAAATTAATTTCAGAAATGAGAGGTAATTATAGTTGAAATTTGAAAAATTCTGGTGTCAAGAAGTATTTTTCAATGATACTAGAGATATAAGAGGAAATGACTTTTTATCAACTGGATGGCCATTTTGATAACTGCAATATTATACAAAATTTTCCTCTGTTATGTCTCACTCTACTCAATAATTACTTCCCGAGGACACACTCCAAATTTTTGGCTCTGCTGATGTTTTCGGAAGACCAAATATGAATTAGAGATCATGAGAGTCATTCTGATAACCCACTGAGTTTTGTGATAATAAAAATGCAGTTATTTCTAGTTTCTATATAAAATTCACAAAACAACAAGTATATAAAATTATTGTATGCAGTCAGGATGCGTTTTATGAGAGAAGTATAAATTCTTAAAAAGGAGTACCCACAGCAGTGGTGGTGCATGCCTTCAATCCTAGTACTCAGGAGGTAGAGACAGGCAGATCTCTGAGTTTGAGGCCAGCTGTTCTACAGAGGAAGTTCCAGTATAGGCTCAAAAGCTACAGAGAGACCATGTCTTGAAAACTCCAAAAACAAAACAAAACAACAATACAAAAAAGTAATAGAAAATACTAAGATAACCGCTAGATTGTCTTTTATTCTCTCTCTTTCATTAGCTCTTAATTTGCTTAGTGCTTCATCAAACTGAAATTGTTATAGGCCTTTATCTAAAATTTCTGCAAATCTAAAGCACAAAAGTGATGGTGTATACATGGACAGCAGATGTGACTAGGTATAAAGAGGTCTACTTCTGAAAGAAATTTTGTAACTTGTCAAAGAAAACAAAATTTCATAGTTTATATTCTATACAACTTTCAATTATAACTGTTAGTTACTGCACAATTTCTTCCACTAACCACGAAAATGGCAAGGAAAAATACTTTAAGCACTCACACAATATTTTACAAGTCAGAAACCTTGGTACTTGAACCATATTCTGCTCCCATTGATTACCAAAACTTTAGTGAAATTAGCCGAACATTAGTCTGTGTCTTCTGTATAGTTATTATTTGAGTTACTTTCTTTGTTAAAGTATCTCAGAGAAGGAAAGATGCTGGCTTATTTTTTGAGGCTATCAAGGCAAGGAAGGTATGATGGCAGAAGCATGAGGTAATTTTGAGTCCACAATTAGGAAGCATGGACTGGTGCAGGTGATGGTGATAATTTCTTTCTTCTATTTCAGTCAACCCAGGTCCCAGTCAGATCTGCTCAAAGAGGAACCAATTCAGTCTCCAAACCAAGGCTCAGAGAGTCCCTCTGAATGCCCGAGGAGAGCTTTTGAACTAAAATGGGCTTTCTCCCTCAGATGATCTTTTTTCTGGAGCTTCTTCTCCGGTGATTTTTGTGGAGAGACTTCTTCCTCAGATTCCCTTCCCCAAATTAGACAAGTGTTGCTTAGAACTCTGTTATCTGAGTATCTTACTAGCTAAGGCTCTTTTCTTTCAACAGAGCCTGGCCTACATTGATTTCTGCAAGGAAAACCTCTTGTTTCCTTTATCTACAAACTGAATGTATCTCGACCAATTTTATCTTGGAATCTTTTGGAGGACCTGAGTGCTTGTGTTTATTCTAATCCTGTTTCAACTTGCTCACAATGCAAACCAAGTAAATTGAAGCAAAAAGAAAATTATATGCAGCAACAAGTGAAAATACATAAGTAGTGATAGCTTAATTTATCAGGTTAATTTTTAATAAATTTATAAATTATGAACTCTACTTAGAAGCAATTTTCTATAAATCTTGGATTACCATAACATTAATATGTAATGCAGCTTTATCTCTTCTGGATAGTATTCATTTGTGGAAAATATTTTTTCTTTAAGTGTAAAAGATGGAAAATTTATTTGAACTAGTGACTAAAGAAAATGTCTCTGATGTAAACATTGGGTAATTTTTCAAATATTCATTTGAAATATCTTTTGGTTTCTACAAATTCATATTGGAATAATTGTAAAAAAAATGTATGTGCAAATGCAGTTTTACTAAAGCAATGACTTAAATATCTTTTCAAAACAATTCATTATGGAACCCACCAGTAGTTCTAGGACTTGAAGGTAAGTGAGGCAGATCGGAAATCAAAAACATCTTCTACCTTGTAAGAAGTTTGGAACCATGAGGTCCTTTCCAGATAAACAAATAAACAAAAATTACAATATTAAACTTGGAAACCTATTCATAAGACTTTTGTGCCCTTGATGCAATGCTTCCTATTATACCTCTTTGATGAGTGTATCTTTTGAATTTAATTATTCTTTGCAATCCAACTTCATGTATTGAATGCTGCTTTCTGGTTGCTTCTTTGAATTTAGAGAGGCAGAATCACATTGCTCAGTGTCACATCCGTATTCTGGCAGTTACACAAAAGCCAGCATCCTCTGTAACTTGTGAAGCCAGTTCCCCTCCACCAACAGAGTCATCTCCTTATTACTTGTAGAAGGGACAAATGGCTGTCTGTGGTATATATTGGCATAGTAAAGTGCATTCTGACCTGCAGGATTGCTCAATATTACAAGCACACACCATATATTTCAGAGTCCATGCTGGCATCTTGGCGATTCCTATTGGCCCCTTTACCTAATCTTCTCCATCTCATTCCCCGGCCACGCACCAGGTTCACATTATCCTTGTAACCCCACTCTTTCTTCCATCCCCCCATTTTTGTTGTTTTTCTTTCTCTCTTATTCCTCTTTCTGTCTTTCTCTAACTCTCTTTTACCCATTTCACTAATGGCCAAGTCCTGTTGGATGGTCAT